AATCTTTCCAATTAACTGCTAGATTCAAAAATCTTCTGGAGATTCACAGGATCATTGCCTTGCCCATCTTCTACACATAACTGTATAGCTTGTCACTGTCATGTTTCCTAGGTCTTCTCCTTTTCCTCTCTTAATTAGTTAGTCCTCGAGTTCCTGCTTTCCTTTTACTTGCATTATACCTTTCTATTTCTATTTCTTCTTTTGAGTTCTTATACTAGGGAAACTATATGATATTTACACATGTGTGTCTGGTTTATTTCACTTATGAGCATATCCTCAAGTGGCATCCAATTCAATATTAAGGCTTCAAGCTTATCATTCTTTATAGCTGAGTAATACTCCATTGTGTAAAAATACCACATCTTTTTCAACCATTCCTTAGGTGATGGGCACAGAACAGGATTATATTCTCTTAGTGTTTTGAGGCAGGCTCTCACTGTGTAGTTTAGTTGGACGTTGAACTCACTATAGAGCCCAGGCTGGCTGGTCCTGCACTCATGGCAGTCCTCCTGCCTCAGCCTCCTGAGTCCTGGGGTTACAGGTGTGCCCCACTGTGCCTGTCTCTAGAACAGAAATTTATTGGCTCACAGTAATACAGGCTAGAAGTCCAAGGGGGAGGGATAGGCTGCTTCTGTTGTAATGGAAGGTCAGCGGGCAAGAGGAGGGGCAGTGAGTCATCCTTCATCCGGAATCTACCCCGTGACCTTCCCCCGACTCCAGTGATAATACCATTAACATGCTCTAGCTGGCTCGACCCTGCCACGCGTGACGTCCCGCTGGGTATCTTGTGCCCCCGGTAGTACAAATAGATCTAATCACTTATATTGGTCTTTTTACTAACAAATGAAAAACACCCCAATGGGACAGTCATGCATATACTATAGTGGTTCAATCCCCTGGCTGGGAGACATGGATTACAACCCCACTGTGAACATGAGCATGTTAATCCATTCATGCGCAGAGCCATGGTGGCCTAAAAATCCTCTTCAAGTTACCACTTCTTGACACCGTTGCCCTAGAGCTTGAGTTTCCAACCTGTGGATTATGGGACACACTGGAATCACAGCAGTGGATCAGGACATTCTCTTGGAAACACACCGTTCTGCTGGTGGGAAGGAGCAGAGCGCAACCAGGACCTCACTGGGTGCCATCGCACAGGACTGTCCACAGCAGGCATGGGCCAGGGAGGGTGACTTCCTCCTGTGCCTCTCTCACCCTGGCCCTCATGTGCTTGGCCCACTCGTGACTCCAGCCCTGTGTCTGCCCATGTGTCCTACTGCGTTTGTGACATCTAGCTGACTTCACCATTTATATGCAGAGTATCTTGGTCTTCCTCTGCGCTCTTGCTCAGCTGTGCTCTGCATCCATCGGCACTACTTGCGGGCTAGATTACAAAATACGCGATGGCTGAGAGGCCAGCGAAGTCATGGTTTCCCCCCATGACTATCGAAGACATCAGCATCAAAATGGTGTCACTTAGGTCAGGTCCTAACAACATCAAGTAGGAGGCCATCCATATTCCTGTGACAAGAACCATCGTGAGGAATTCCTCCGAACTGCAGCATTCCAGTCAGCCTCTTGCCCCGGGGACACTTGCCTGATGATGGTGGTCTCCGCCAGACCAGCATCAGCCCCTGGAGGGAGCCCTCATCCCCTGTGCCTTTTTTACAAAACAACTTCATGGGTGTCTCTTCTTGGGTCTGTGGCTGGAGCTCGGTGCGTCCTTAGTGTGTACAAGGCCCAGGTTCCACCCTTACAAGCAAAGGTAGAGTTTCCACTCACCCCGTCCTCTTCTGAGGCCCCCGGAGCCCCCATCGCATGCGTGTCTCTAGATTGTGGTCTCTTCGGGGCCCCAAATAAACTCTTCATTTGGAAAGTTGGGCTCTCTGCTGTGCAGTTCAAGGTGACCAGCCTGCATTTTTCTGTTTCATCTCCTACCTTCTGCGATCCCCTCCTACTTCCCTTATTATGAAACCCATTCTTTTTAGAAAACACGAAATCTGGCTCCACGTCCTCCTGCCAGCTGTGTCACACTCACACTTGGGCCTTATTTCTCTGCTCCCTTAAAGATGCTCAAGAATGATGTGCGTGCTGCTCCCGAGGCCCTGTGAGGAGCGGGGGCCCCCTTGCACCAGGCCCGTGCTGCGCCTCTGGGGCCTCAGGAGCAGCCTCCTGGCTGAGTTCGCTCTGGTCCGGGTTCTACACAGCGCCAGCCGGATTCTGCCCCTCTGACACCAATGTGTCCTGCTTACCCTTCGGGAGTGGGGCTACTTTTCCCACAGCACCCTTCACAGCATTTGTGTTATTTTTGGACTTGGGTCCAAACAGAGCAGAACAGAATTTATGTCTGTCTGCCTCTGAACTTCAAAGCCTTGGCCTCGCAGCCTCCTCTTGCTGTTTTCCACGGAACCCCTGGTCCCCCTGCTCGGTTGTTGCTCCGGGCATGGGGGGTGAATGTCTGCAGGGGGGTGCGACACGTTCGTGTCAGGATAGCTTTAAAGAGGACAGGCCTGAGTATGGCCCCCGCAGGCTCTGCCAAGCAGCTGAGTAAACTGCGCTTAGCTGTGCCTACTGTTTATTTTAGGGAAAGATGACAATAGAGTTCCCCTCTAACGCTAAATAGCCCTGCAAACAGGAAAAATGGTCTATCCCCATGGAAGAAATCTTAAACTTTTCCCTTGAATGTTTCACTGGGCTCGTAAAAATAATTTGCAGACTAGAAACGAATTTCATTCATTTGTCACAGGCTGTCTTTGGCAATCTCAAAAGGGGGTGTGTCGATATGGGAAACTTTTTAAATCAAAACTAAATCCCTTCACCTGTTTTTTTCTGTTTCGCGAGCTTGTGATGCTGGCGAATGTCTGAGTCTCAGTTTCTTTAGCTGCAAAATGGAGATAATATTATATTACCACATTTCCCAAAAAATAAGACCTAGCCAGAAAATAATCAACCTTGAAAACTAGAGATTGAAAATACCAGCCCCAGTCAGACTGTCCTCACCTCACTTGCCTTCCAAAGGAGCCAATGAGCAAGAGAACAGCGGTGTCCGTTTAAGCTCTTCTGACTGAGTCCCTTCCCATGAGGCTGAGTGTGGCATTGTCCACATGTGGCATGGTGACAAGGCTCAAAACAGTTGAAATGCTCAGCCTGCTTTTTCTCTTTGTTGTTTCATTTATGTATTTGGTACAGGGTCTCACTACGCAGCTCGGACTCATAGTGATCCTCCTGTGTTTCGCCTCCCCAGCGCTGGGATTACAGATGGGTGCCACCATGCCTGGGCACATTTGCCAGCTCAGCGCACCCTGGGGATGGAGCCAGCGCAACTTGGGGGACCAGGGTTCGAATCCTGGTCCCTGCGCTTACCAGCCCAGCCTATTTTTAATGCTAATGATATTTTTATCCCTCTAAGATGTCACAACAAAATACTTCAAGCCTCACAGGATTTTATTTTATTTTTTTTGTGGCCAACATACAGCCCTCCACGTGGGGCAAATGACCAGCCGCGCATTCTAGTATGGAGGCCTGGGGCTGTGAGTCAGGTTCAGACTGGTTCTGAGACACTTGAAGGTGACTTCTGATGACAAGTGAGGGAACAGCAAGAAACCCCCCATATGCGCCATCTTTCTGTGGCCCCTGGGCTTACATTGGTCACAAAGTGAAAATATAAAAGTATTCCATGTGTGGTGCTGTGTCTGTAGTCTTGACTCCTTGGAAACTGAGGCTGGGAGATTATCTGAGCCTAGAGATTTAGAGCCAGGCTGGGTAACATAGAAAAAATATTATTTCCTGGGGGGCAGGGAGAGTCAGGGAGACAGATGGAGAGGGAGACAGGGAGAGGGAGATTGATGGATTCTTTATGCTCAATGGAGGGAAAGGGCGTGAAGATCCCCAGCAGGGGCTCACAACTGTGCTGGAATGTACTTTAAGAGGCACGGAGCTACTGGTGTGGTGGTGCACACCCATAATCCCAGTGCACAGGAGGCTGAGGCAGGAGGATCTCTGTGAGTCCGAGACCAACCTGGGCTACCCAGTAAGTTCCAGGCCAGTCTGGATCACATAGTGAGATCCTGTCTCAAGCAAACAAAAAAGACTGAAGGTGCCCTGTGGTGGTACAGTCTGTGTGAAAGTCCTCCCCCCCCCCAGCATGGGAGGTGGGGCTGCACTAGGAGAAAAGCGCAGGCTGCCCAGCAGCATGGTGTGGCCTCTCACTTCTTACTTCATGGGTGCTAACAGGTGACTTTCATGTTTTGGTTTCCAAAATGATTTTTAGGCAAGACACAATGTCATTGGTATGCCGCGGGCCCTGACTTCAATCTCCCTGTTCCTCGCTGCTGTCTGCCTTCTACTTTAGAATTCACCAGCCAGAGAGTAGGCTGTTAACAATCGCATTAAAAACAAACTAAGGCACTAGTCAAATAAATGAGTGACTATTGAAATAAGTGAAGTGGTATTGATTTGTAGTTTCTCCTGATTTCAGAAAGGGTTTGATAGGAGAAGCAAATAGGAGGGTTTGGGGCAAGCTGGCGTCCTCAGAGGACCTTGTCAGCCATTCACCTACCTGTGCCCTCCATCTGTCCCTGGGGGGTTGCATGGGCGGAGTGCACCAACTTTGGCATTTTTCATTCTGATGTGGGGTGAACAGATTGGGACTGAGGTGGGATGGCAGGTGGGTCACTGTGCCATGTACTCTCTCTTTCAGAGACTCTGACCTATTTTTGTTGGACACCCGGGTCGTGTGGGCCTCAGAAGAAGGCTGGCTGGAATTTGACATCACAGCCACCAGCAACCTGTGGCTGGTGACACCGCAGCACAACATGGGGCTCCAGCTGAGCGTGGTGACGCAGGATGGTGAGCTGGGTCTCCACGCCACCGACATCTGGCCCGCGGTGCTTTATTCGCTTCCCCTCCTGCTGTTGTGGTGGAGCCCTGGTTTATTGTCCTGTCCTCGGCTCCAGGGTGACCTCATTTACTGTTCCCTTGTGGCTGCCATTGGAAACCAAAACCCTTTCAGCAGGGATGCGGAGTCTGGCTTGGCCCACATCCCTCAGACCCAAGAGTCATGGAGGGGGACAGATTTCACTGGCAGAGGCAGGGGATGTCGGGAGAAAGGAAGACAGGAGCCAGGTCCGCCCGGGGGCCCTTCCAGTCCCCTCCCTTCCTGCAGCTGCAGAGCTCAGGGTCTTCACTTATATAGTCTTCTCCCTGATCTGGGAGAAATAAGATAAGAAGGAAAGAGGGTGTGTGGATAAATAAGCCCTGCAGAGTCAGGAGCATTCCTGGAGGTCACCTCACGGTGTCTCTGACCCATGTCCTTCCTTGAAGGAGTGAGCTGGTTCTGCCCATCCGAAGGGAGCCCCTGGGGTTGGGCATGCATGAGGCTCCTCCCTCACACCTGTTCCTCATTACCCCTTGTGGGCTCCCAAGAAGGGTCACTGCATGGTGTCGCTATGGGACTAAGGTTCTAGGGAGTCAAGAGGGCTGTGCTCTGGTTTGCATTCAAGGACTCCATGTCAATCCCCGCACTGCGGGCCTGGTGGGCAGAGACGGCCCTTACGACAAGCAGCCCTTCATGGTGGCCTTCTTCAAGGTGAGCGAGGTCCATGTACGCACTGCCAGGTCGGCCCCTGGCCGGCGCCGCCAGCAGAGTCGCAACCGCTCCACCCAGTCCCAGGATGTGTCCCGGGTCTCCAGTGCTTCGGGTAGGTGTGAACATATCCCCATTGGCCTTGCTGACAACAGAGTTCTGGCCACTGGCTTTGGAGGCTGACAGCTCCTGCCGGGCAAATGTGGTGCCCCAAGGTGTCCTTGCATGAGGGCAAATGGTCAAAGTCATGAGCTATCTAAGTGGGTTCCGGGGGGCCCTCACAGCTGGACACTTGTTATCCAAAGACCCCGGCTGCAGGCATCCTCTTCGGTATGAGGCTGAGCAGCCCCAATCTGAAGTGCTTGGGGCCAGAAGTACTTTAGATGCTTTCTTTGTTCAGATTTTGGGATATTTTCATATGCATAATGAGATATCTTTGGGGCAAGAGCCAACCCTAAATGCAAAGGTCAGGTATGTTTCGCAGTTGCCCCACACCCAGCCTGAAGGTCATTTACGCAGCTATTGTAGAGCGCTCGTGCTTTATCTGTGACCTATCACATGCAGTCAGGAGCTTGATTTTTCTCCATATGGCATCGTGTTAGCACTCAAAAGGTTTCAGGTTTTGGAGCTTTTCAGGTTTCAGATTTCTAGATTGGGTCGCTCAGCAGGTACACACAAACCTTGTGTATTTGTGCAGCGCGGACTTGTGTTTATCAGCGTCCTTGGCTGGCAGTGACAGAAAGTCAACACCAATAGCCCTGGAAAGAAGATGTCATTGAGCTGGGAGTTTCAAAGATTCTGGCTTTTGGCTTGGTTGAATCCGTGGGCTCAGGTGGTGTTCAGAGTCTCTCTTTCTCCTTTTCTATTTTCTTTTGTTGGTGGTATTTTCAGAAAGAATCTCTCTGTGGAGGCAAGAATGCAGTGCACAGTTCCAGGCTTTGTCACCCTTGGCAATCTTTACTGCAGATGGAGAGAGAGCCCTCCTTTCATCGCAGGTTTGGTGGAGTGTGTGTGTGTATGTGTATGTTTGTGTGTGTTTAGGGCCAGGGATGGGTCTGCCTCTGTACCTATGAAGCAGGCAAGGCCACAGGGCAAAAGAGTAGGAATCTGAGTCTCTGGTAGTGTCCGGCCCATGCCGTGCCCTGGGGCTGGGGTGGGGCACCACTGCGGTGGTGCAGCTAAGAGTCAGGGAGCAGACCTGCCCTCCTGACAGTCATTCCTGCAGCCCTGGGGTAGAACTGAATTTGCAAGCAGAGAACTCCTCAGCACCTCGTTGGTAGCATTAGACTCCGGACAAACCTAACCTTTGTAGATTCAGTTTTGACATCTGTAAAGTGGGGATGGTAGGTGCCTCCCTGACTGGTTGGAATTAAATGAAATTCTCTTGATCTGGTTGAAAATGGCACTCACAGACATTTTGCATCCAGCTGGAAAAAGTAGGTGCGAGGTGAAAGTGAAATAGCGCTGGAAGACCCATTTACGTTTGCAGGTGGCTGTTTATGAATGTCACTTTTATTGCCTGGAAAGAGTTAATGCAACTACCCAAAGTGCTGGGTTTCTCTGGGGAAAATCCTAAATTTTAGGTTCTGACTTTATGAGCTGTCTCTTTCCCTGGTAACTTAACTATGGAACTTGAGACCCACCACCCAGTGGGATGTGACATTGTGTTTCTGGTCTTGCTGGTGTTTCTTGGAAACCTTGCCCAGCATGGGTGTTCCTGCATTTACCACTACAAACAGTTGGGACAGGGGCTTGAGAAGGAGGAGGAGACGTGCTTGGTTTCTTTTATTCACTTCAGAGGCAGCGTGGGGAGCGGAGCTGAAGATCTGCGGTTCCCTCTGGGGCACAACGTGGCGTCTGCCAGCGGAGGGCTCCAAGTCATTCATGACCTGTGGTCAGTCAGTTCTGGGCCTTCAGACGCGGAGGCAGCTCTTGAAATGCTGATTGCTTTCTAAACTTCAAACCTCACTTGATTAATTCAACGCCCACCCCACCAGCCCACTATATGCCTATCAATTTTTTTAAATTGAGAAAACATGTTGCCACTGATTTGGATTTTAGCAATGTCACCCAATTATTATTTTCCAAGGCTCTTTCAGTTTTTTTTTTTTTCAATTTGATGAGTCAAAATTAAATATGGACACTACAGTGGATCTAATTTCCAATAGGATGCAAATGTCTCTGTTGCATGGTCCCCACCCCCTGCCCCCTAAGCCAGCGCTTCCCCATTTCCTTTGCTCCTTTCAGCAATCCTAGGGCAGAAGAATTTATACCAGATCCCTGTCACCTCACATATTTGCAAGTCCCCAGAACGTGTTGCGATAAAGGGTGCTTGCTTCTTGGTGTCTTGTAAGCCCCTCACCAATGAGAAGCTGCTCACTGTCAGCCCAGGGTACTAATGTACATGTTGGGCCCCTTGTTCTTCTGCAAAGCAGAGTGTATATGCAGGAGAGATTTCTGTGCGAAAAGGGATTTCTAGGAAGCTGGTTACCTGGAGAATCAGGTGTGTGGTCTTAGCTTCTCTTCTCAGGGCCTGTGATGCCACAGGTTGCTGGGCCTTAGAGAATCAGGCTGAGGTTTTGAGGTGGAAAATTGTAGTCGCTGGTGTGACTCCAGCAGGCTTCCCCCTTGTAAATCTCTGAGTGCTGAAGGGAGAAATTACTTTGCCTCTGCTGCCCCCGATGTGTGCTCCTGGGGAACTGATACTCTTCTACCATCTAAGCAGCCACCTTTCAAAGAAGCCCATGGGGAATTGTCTTGCAACTGGGTAAAGAACTTAACACTGGGCCGGGGAGACAGCTCAGGGGCATAAGCGCCTGCCTGGCAACCACAAGGTCCTGAGTTCAATCTCTGGTACCAAACCAACATTTATCAAATTGGCTGTCATGGATGTTCTGGGAGCTGAGCTATGAATGCCTGAGACCCAACTGGTCCACTACAAGGGAGGACCGAAGAGTCCATCTGCCACCTCCCCGCACCCCAAGGTCTAGGCTAACATTCATAGTTGGCTTTCAAGCTGGACTTTGCCAACTTGTGTGCTGGACGGTGGGTTTGAACAGTGTCCCTGTGCCCTTGCTTCTGCACAGCTGCATGTGCTGGGTGGGCTGCTCGTCACCTGTGGGCTGGCAGAGCCTCTGTTTTACACATTTGCCTGCTGCTGGACCGAGCCCCACTGTGCAGCCCCCAGGAGTTCTAATGCATCTGACAGTTATTTTGCAGCCTTGGGCTCTAACCATCTCCTACATCTGTGACACCTGCCCTTGGCTTCTTTAGCTCTGTTTTAGGCATCTCTTGCTACCTGATGCCCTCTTCCTCTTTGATGGTTTCTTAGAATTCATTATAGTAAGGCCCTGAGTCATGAATGAGTTGGATTCTGTTCTGGGAAAATGTTCCTAAGTCAGATTAGTTTGTAAGCCTGGCAGAGTGACTCTTATATGTTTTTGACACAAACAGTATAAAGTATAAAAAACAACCCACATGTAGAACTACTGTAGATAAGCTACTTCTTACTTTTACAGTTACCTTCAAATGGTGACATAGTACAGTACAACTGGCAGCTAGGGGATGCGAAGGGACAGAAGAGCATCACAATGCTAACTGGAGGCAGAGGGCAGGTGGAGCTGAAGGACCACCAGCAGAAGCAGGAGGTGGAGGACAACGTGGAATTTCACTCCCGCCTGATGCTGATGACGCAGGCTTATCACTGGACTCAATTCTGTCAGCTCTGTAGTCTGAGGTCTGTTTACATCTGTGAAAGTTGGCAATTTGAATGTTGGTTAAGTTGGAGACCTGCTGTGTTTTGTCCTCTGACTCCGTTTGGTCCGTGCACTTGGAGCTCTATGAATAATGCCCTTGGAGGGTAACTCCCCTTGGTGACTCTACGCTGTGATCAGCTACTTCTCTGAATCTTTCCATGACAATTCTAAGCAGGAAGAGGTGGTTAATGCTATTTCAAATCAACTAGTGAATCAGGTGTTCTGCTGCTGAAGTAGTAACTTCGGCTTAGTGTTCGTATTGTCGGATGAGCATTGGGATGCTGTCTGTGACTTTCAACGCGCGTGCGCAGTCAGGCGGACTCTCTTATTCTTGCTTATGCTTTCACTGCCCAGCTCTGCCAGCTGTCTATACCCCACATGACCCTGCGTGCTCTTGGGCACCAGCCTGGCCTTGCTCCAGTGCTACCTGTGAGCATTTCTTGGGGTGAGTGCTCTTTCCATCTCTTCCTCCCCCCGAAGCATGCATCCCCAAGGGCCTCAGAGAAAACATGGCTTCTGGACAGCTAGGTGCACTGTGGACCTTCTTGTTGACAATTCTGATCTCCTAGCCCTGGCACCTGACAGTGGGGACAAAGGCGTGTGCTTCCAGTGTGACAGAGATAACCAGAATGGATCTCTTTGAGTACCTTAGTATGACTACACAATCTTGTGCTCTATGGATTTCTTTCTTTTTTCTTTTTTTTTTTTTTTTCAGAACCAGGGATTGAACTCAGGCCCTTGCGCTTGCCAGGGAAGCGCTTATTCCACTGAGCCATCTCCCGGCCCTTGCTCTATGGATTTCAAGGAATTGCAGTCCACACACTGGGGTCTCATTTTTACGGTGTCCCCACTACTTGTCTTTGACTCCCTGGGTTGGGGGTGTCAAAGCTGGGTGGACCTCCAGGGTTTTAGGAACTCAAAATTACAGCCATTGCTTCTTCATGAGGGTCTTGATCTTGAGTTCAAATTGTAGGGCGTGTGGCTTTGTTTGCAGGTGTCTTGGTTAAGAAGTAGAGGCCTATGCAGAACACCCTAAATGAAATCAATTGTGAGTTCTCCACAGGTATGAGGAGCAGGTGTAGGGGGAGTGATTGTAAAGTTAGAATCATTTTAAACCCCATTTTTTTTTTTTTCCTGATCAAGTCGGGTTTATTTAGGGGAGGTGCTGGGTGTATATAGTGGAGGCATAGGGAAATGACGTCAGTGGGTAAAAGGCATGAGTAACTAGGCAATCGGGCTATGACAGGAAGTCCCACCTTTAAACCCCATTTTTATCAGGCTTGACCCTCCTTCACGACTGAACCTGTTAAAGATGATGATCACTGTGGCCAGGAAGTCCCCTTCCTTCTTGCACACTCCC